GGACGACTGATCCGTGTAAAGGAAAGAATGAATGGGGCCATGTATCGTGAGATTTTGAGTGACAACCTCCTTCCATCAGCAAGGGCATTGACTATGAAACGTGGCTGGGTCTTTCAGCATGACAATGATCCCAAACACACCGCCCGGGCAACGAAGGAGTGGCTTTGTAAGAAGCATTTCAAGGTCCTGGAGTGGCCTAGCCAGTCTCCAGATCTCAACCCCATAGAAAATCTTTGGAGGGAGTTGAAAGTCCCTGTTGCCCAGCGACAGCCCCAAAACATCACTGCTCTAGAGGAGATCTGCATGGAGGAATGGGCCAAAATACCAGCAACAGTGTGTGAAAACCTTGTGAAGATTTACAGAAAACGTTTGACCTCTGTCATTGCCAACACAGGGTATATAACAAAGTATTGAGATGAACTTTTGTTATTGACCAAATACTTATTTTCCACCATAATTTGCAAATAAATTCTTTAAAAATCAGACAATGTGATTTTCTGGATTTTCTTTTTCTCATTTTGTCTCTCATAGTTGAGGTATACCTAGGATGAAAATGAAAGGCCTCTCATCTTTTTAAGTGGGAGAACTTGCACAATTGGTGGCTGACAAAATACTTTTTTGCCCCACTGTATGTTGTGCATTTTGGTGCTATTTACCATTATTTTGGAAAATTCTTAAAGTTTTTGGTAGAGCCAGATTCTACTTCATAGGGAATGGCACAGGAATGATAAAATTTGAATTTCCTAAATTCCTACATCATTTATTGTTATTATGGATATTTATTTCATAACATATATATTTGTATTATTATTATTATTATTATTATAATGAATTATTCTTTTAACATTGAATTATTTTACATTTTGGGGATCCAACCACTATTTATCTGAAAGTGTAGATCTTGTGCATTTAAATCTTTAAACAAACTTGAACATGAGTTATTATAAGCAGGTCTGATGATATGCTGATAAGAAAACAGTCTTACAGCGAGAAGGTCCCATCTCTCGTTGTATTTGTCTCTGACGTCTGGAGCTGCGATCAGCAGAGCGTTGAAGATGTGGACGTCAGCTGAAACACAAAGTTTCGTTTTGAGTCTTCTACTTCCAGAGAAAGACTTCCACAGGTTACCTGCAGGCTTTAGAGTCACTGGGACTACTAATGTTATCGTTTGTCATCGTCTCATGGTACGGTCAAGTAAAACACTTAACCTGACAGCAAGACACAATATCATAACCAACACAAACAAAAATTTCAAAAATACACGACTATAACACAGACCTTTAACTGCCTGTTGAAATAAAAATAGATGGTTAAATCAATACATTTAAAAAGGGTTGTAGAAGTTATTGAGCATGTATTTAAATTGCCTGCATACAGTACTTTGTATAAGCCAGAATTTTAAAGTAAAAAGGGAAAAATATACCAATTACCTACCATGTCCAACATTAACCCTTTTACACTTTGCAATATGGACAATACTTAGGGTGTATAACCTGTTATTATTAAAATACTAATCATTATTTATGCTAATAGAACATTATATATATTGTAATTGGAAAATGGTATTGTTGTTGGTATATATTGTAGTACAATGTGCCAATTTTTACTTGAAGTTCCCATGCTTATATCCATATTTTTATTTATTTGAAATGTACGACAGGGATAATTAGAGTACTCAGATTCTAATGAGGATTCAACCTGCAGTTTCTTTTAAATTGTGTTTGTATAGAAATAATAAGCCATTTTCTCTTCCTGTATTCCCACTCACCGGTCAGTCTGTTGTTGAGCAGGTCTGTGTAAATGCTGAAGGCCTTTGCGTGGGCTCCGTGCTGGAAAGAGACACACAAACATATTATATTTAATCTAGATGCAACCAAAATGGCCCCCCTGTTTCAGAACCCCCCCCTGCAGTGAGGGTCCGTACCTTGACCATGCCTCTGATCAGAGCCGAGTAGCAGCGTGTGTCTCTCTCTGGCAGCAGGTTGAAGATCCGTTCTGCGTTATTGTTCTCCTTCCAGCTGAACTTCATGAAGTCTGAGGCCCGGCGCGGCCTCCCCCGGCCCTGCCTCACCTCCTCCCCAGGCTCCTCCTGACACACAGAGGGAAATACACACACTGTAGATTTAATATCATGTCTGAAGTTGTCGGGAAAATACTCAATATACTCTTCCAATATCAGAATAACACATGATAACAAAGGTATCCCAACTGTAGCTGTGTACATGACAGGATGTATGATAACCTAGAAGAGCATCGGGACTGTTTTAGGCATATGATAGCTATGTGATTAACATGATGATTCAGCATGACAGGATGTATGATAACCTAGAAGAGCATCGGGACTGTTTTAGGCATATGATAGCTATGTGATTAACATGATGATTCAGCCTCTATGGAGATAGACATATGACAGGCATGATCATTTCTGACGTGGAGCTAATATGAACTAAACATTGAATAGTACTGTATATTCCTCCATCTTGTGACTGTGTAACTCCCTCTCTTGTATATCAGAATTTGAAGGACACTGTTCAGGAACTAGTTGATGTATGTGATGACTACTTCCATTCTTGAGAGGATCATAAATGCATGGATTGCCTGATATTGAAGCTCAAGCCGGTGACGAGTGAGAGTTTTCTAACAGAAGTCTTCAGCTAAAAGGTGACAGATTTGACTTTTTGTTGACATATGAATAAAAAAGGGTTAAATATAAAGAAATACATAATATTGCATGTTTAACGATTACATTAAATCAGAATACCTTTATTTGTATTTAAATACAATCATTTCTTATATGTTATTCCACCAACCATCTATACAGGACTGTCTCAGAAAATTAGAATATTGTGATAAAGTTCTTTATTTTCTGTAATGCAATTAAAAAAACAAAAATGTCATACATTCTGGATTCATTACAAATCAACTGAAATATTGCAAGCCTTTCATTATTTTAATATTGCTGATTATGGCATACAGCTTAAGAAAACTCAAATATCCTATCTCTAAATATTAGAATATCATGAA